CCCCAAAACCCCAAAACCCCAAAACCCCAAAACCCCAAAACCCCTTTCTTCAATATAGAAGTAAATATTTAAGTTATGAATGTTAAGAAATTAAAATGCTATTTAATCAATAGAGATTGCTATCTCTTAAAGCCTTAATCAAGAATACTTTCTCATGCTCATCCAATGACTTTTACAAGCCTACTAATTTGTCCTGACAATCAGAAAACATTCGCATGTTAGACTTAGACAGTTTGAAGAAGTTACTTTCAGTCTTGTCTGGCGCATTATTGACTATCTCTCCATCATCATTTAAAGGGATGCCTAGTGAGTAGTCCTTGATCTTCTTAATAGAGAACAGCTTATCAGGAAGGAATTTGTTACATTCAACAAAAAGCTCGCTAAGTTTATTCTCCTTAGTAGTCATTTTCAGTTAAGAATTAGAAGTTGTGTTAGGCAGTATTTTAAAGGCATTGTTATTGGCTGTGGGTGATAGTGGTTTATCTGGAGAACCATTCAAAGTTTAGCTGATCTTTTAGGTTTCATTCATGTGCTACTTCATTGATTAAATCTAAGTTTCAAGAATAGGCTATGATGCTGAAAACTTTAGACCTTTTTTGTTCTTATCTTACAATGTTTTCAGAAAGAATTCAAACTAGTCCTCTAGCAAGTTCTTTTTGCAAATAGTATTAATAGCTTGACTTTTTTTAATCTTGTTTTTACGATACATCTTCTAGAAGTACTCCTTGATACCACTTTTCATCTACTCTGACATGCTATGAATGTTGTTTTCATCTTTTCCGTGGGCATTGCCATTTAATGCTTCAAAGCTTTGCAACCCATTTGACTGATTCATATTGTTTCCATTTTTATGGAAATTTGAGGCATAAGTAGATGAGTGCTCAGTCAAATTAGTATGAGTTTAGTTGTGATTGTTATTGTGAGCAACTGAATTATAATTAGTGTTTTTGCTCTAAGAAGGACTTTTCTTTATTGAAAGCTTACTTGGTGTATCAGAGGGCCCTTTCAATCCACTGACCTTACCTATTCTTTAATTAATTGAGGGAAACATGGATGACTGATCTTTTGCAGATTTTTCATTAGTTTAAAGATTAACCGGTAAAGAATCAATACTATCATCTGTTGTATTCTGGGGCTTCTCATATAGATGGGCGTTCATGACCTAGTGCATTAGAGATGGATTGGTAAAGTATTTAATCTTAAGGTTGATCTCATTATTCAACTCCTTCAGATAGTCCATATCTTCACGCTTCAGTCTATTCACATGCAAATGAATGTTGAAATTCTTATTTGCCTGAGAGATGATCTTACTTTCCATCTTTCTATCAATCTTGCTAAGTTTGTTTTAAAGAGCGTTACCCTCATTTTCTAGCTTCTATATAGCATGCTACTTTCTTTTCTCTCTTTCATCCTAAGTATAGTAATCTTTCAGAATTAGGACTTTAAACAACTCATCTTTCTCCTTGGGAATAGGAAAACCCATTTCAACCATAAACTCAAGGTATTCCCTTTGTAGCCTCCAGTATTTGTCCAACTCTGCCTCAGTCAGTTCACTTGGATCAGCGTATCCTTTGTCTTTTCCCGATGTCTCTGCCCCTTCTTTACCTGTCTGTTTTTTCTTTTCATCCTTAATTTGTTTTTACTTCATAAACTATTAGAGATTATAACTCTATGACCTTATCTGATCTATTCCATTTTTGATTGTTTTTACCTTGTTTGGAAACTTTGGTTGATACATCTTCATTCTCCAAGTCTTTTAGTGCTAGTCGCAATCCTTAGGCATATTTGGATCCATATACAAATCTGATCTTACATCCAAGATTTCTCTTACTATGTCTGAGGAGAACTTAAACTTAGGTGTTTCTTTTCCCTTTTTAAAGTCCTTGAGACTCTTGCTCTCTCCGAATTGAAAGCTTCCTGGACCTGCCAAGGCGCCACTTCCGACACTTGCTCCCTGCTTTTATAAGTTTGCCATTGAATTCGAACGATTTTAATTCATTTTAATTATCTATATCAACTCTATTATTAGGAAGCCATGGGGGTTTTGGGGTTTTGGGGTTTTGGGGTTTTGGGG